CTTCCAGATGAAGATTCATATCCAATACCTCTTCTGTTGTTTCCACTAACACCATAGATCATGGAAGCCATTTTGCTTCTGTCTATGCTCTTAGTAAGAAATCTCTGAAAGCTAGAGTCATATTTTTCTAAAATGTTTTCACACGACTTAGTCTCAGATTCAGATTCTTGTTGAGTTATTTCAAAGTCATTTTTTATTTTCAGATTTATTTCGTTTTGCTCAACAAGTTCTGTTTTCAGAAGATCAATCTCAGATTCAAGATTGCTTTTCAGCTTCTTGTATTTGAGTTTGATATTGTTATAACTTTTAAGAACTTCTGTTAAAACTTTTATAAGTTCTTCTTTGGTAAGTTTAGCCATTACCTCTTCTGCGTCATCATCAGATTCAGAATCTGATTCATATCCTGAGGTACCTTCCTCTTGATCCTCTGTGCTGGCCATCAGTGCAACATTGGCACATTCTTCTTCTGATTCAGAAGATGATTCAGATTCATCTGAGTCATCCCATGTTGCCATCAGAACCTTCTTCTTTTTGTTAAACTTCTTCTTGGGTTTTTCTTTCTGAAGTTTGGGGCAATCATTCTTGTAGTGCCCAGGTTCTTTGCACTCATAGCACACAACTTCTTTCTTGGCAGATCTTCTGTGTCCAGAAGATTCCTTTCTATTATCAGATCTTCTGAAGTTGTTGAACTTCTTTCCTTTGTGCTTCCAGAGTCTGTTGATCCTTCTGGACAGCATGGATAACTCATCTTCTTCTTCAGAAGAAGATTCTTCAGAGCTTTCTTGAATGACCTGCAAAGCTTTAGCAGTTTTGTTAGATTTTAATGCAACAGATTTACCTTTTTATTTCTTCTGAGGTTCATCTTCCTCAAGCTCAATCTCATGGCTCCTCAGTGAGCTGATGAGTTCTTCTAGAGAGATCTTGTTCAGATCTTTAGTCATCTTTAAGGCAGTCACCATTGGTCTCCATCTGGTAGGCAGACTTCTGATGATTTTCTTTACGTGATCTGATGTAGAGTATCACTTGTCCAGAACTTTCAGCCCAGCAGTGAGTATCTGAAATCTGGAGAACATGGCTTCAACAAATTCAGAGTCTTCCATTTTGAAGGCCTCATACTTCTGGATCAGAGCCAGAGCTTTTGTCTCCTTAACTTGAGAATTTCCCTCATGGGTCATTTTTAGGGATTCAAACATATCAAAAGCAGTTTCCCTGTTTGTAATTTTCTCATACTCAGCATGTGAAATAACATTCAATAATATAGTCCTGGCTTTGTGGTGATTTCTGAAATCTTTCTTCTGAGCATCTGTCATAGATTTTCTGTCAATCTTCTTGTCATTCCCATCTGTGGGATGGACATATCCATCTATGACTAGATCCCATAGATCAGCATCATATCCTAGGAAAAAACTCTCAATTCTGTCTTTCCAGTAGTCAAATTTCTCCCCATCAAACATTGGGGGTTTGGTGCTGATCCTATCCCTTTCTTCATATTTATTGTTAATATTGGACATTGAATTATCAGCCATTGTAACAAATAAATATATATCAAAGTATTTCTCTCTGGATCTTTACTGACACTGTTAAGTGGTAGCACACACAGAACCGGAGCTCTGATGCCAACTGAAGGTGAGATAATACTTAGAAGGGGGGGGGTTGAATAAGTATGAAAGATTAAGACTTTAAAAATAATCACACAATTATTTTTATCCTGGTTCGTTTAAAACAACTACTCCAGTCCACCCTTCCTAGAGTGATTTGCCTTTCTCAACAAGGACTTAATCTACTATTTAATCAAACAGATTACAATAGTAACACCTAAGAACAACTGTTCTTAGTCTTCTCAAGAGCTACTGATTCCAACTGAATCCTCTTAAGGAAAACCTTTACAATCAATGTAAATTAAATACAAGAGTATTAGTGCTTCTATAAAGCTTTTATCACAACAGTGATTTTTCTCTTAAGTTTAAGTACAAGAAATTCTAAGAAGAATATGAAAGAATGAGAGCTTAGAATAATATGATTTCTTTTCAGCAAATTGTGTAACTGAAGAATTTGGCGGAGACTTCCTTTTATAGGCAGCTGATCCAAGGATGCTGAGCGTTGAAAAGAGAGTCCCAAAAAGGTCTGAGCCTTTTTGTCTTCACATCAAGTGACCTTTCCTAGAAGTAGATAACACAGAAAAATCCTTTTTGTCTGTGTAATTGTGTCTAGCACAAATGAGGAAAGAGACGTTGATTAACTCCAACAGATATAATCTTGAATATTTCTTCTTCAGTTTTCAGCAAGTTCTTCAGAATCTGAATGAGTCAGAGTCTTCTAAAGATGTTCAGAACTTTGCTGTATCAGAGTCTTCTGCAGCATGTGTGCTTTCAGCGTGTTGATCATCAGAGCATATTTGACACAGAACTTCAGTACTTGGCAGCGTTAGTACTTTCAGAAACTTCTGTAGAATTATGCTTTGAGAAGCTCTTCATACAATATTCTTCTTTGCTTCAGATGCTTCTGACTAGCTTCAGATGCTTCTGCTTCAGATTCTTCTGAATAGCTTCTTGATTCAGATCCTTCTGGAGACTACGCTCAGGATCTTCTGTAAACAGCAATCAGAATCTTCTGTAGGATGCATCTGGCGCTTCAGAGTCAGGATAACTTCTTGTATATACTTCAGATTTGCTTCTAGAGAGTTAATTTCATTTCAAACTGCAGTAAAACTCTCAAACAAATTTTAGAGTATATAATTCTTAGATATAAAATTTCCTAACAGTTATCATCAAAATAAAGAGTTATTATTAAGAACCAATCTGTGTTCTAACACATGATGTGTTTCATGCGTCTCCATTGAGGAAGTACATTCCAAATCTGTCGCATGTGATTCAGATGGACGATGTACAAGTGAGAGATGATTTGACTGTTGAGGCATTGCTAGTTCGAATTGATGAACGAGAAGCAACTTCGAGGTAAAGAGATTGTCTTGGTAAAGGTAGTTTTGGGAGGACCAGCTGGAGAAAGTTGGACTTGGGGGCGTGAGGATCAGATGAGGGAGTCATATCTGACTCTATTTCCTTGAGGTGATTTTCGAGGGCGAAAATTATTTTAAGTGGGGGAGAGTTCTAACACCCCAAATTTAATTGGAATATTTTAATTTATTTATTTAATTGAGAATATTCGTATTTTAGTGGTTTTCGGTGGTTTTGTGGGTTATTGGGAATTATGCATTTTTGGATTATTTATTTAATTAATAGTATACAATATGGAAATATTAGTATTATTATTAGTTAAAATAAATATAAGTGAAATAAGGGTAATTTGGGCATTAAGAGGAGTTAGTAAGGGTGTTATGGGAAAAGCCCAATTGTGTGGCCCAAGACTATGTTTGACAAAAAAGAATTCTGAAGAAAATTAGGATTCATTTTGTTAACCGTGAAAAGTATTGAGGCCAGAGCTCTAAGGAGAAGATTGGAGGCAGAAGCTTCGAGAGATTCCCTGAAAGATTGAGAAGGCTTTGATCGACAATTAAGGTATGGGGAGTATAGCCTTTCATAATTTTCCATGTGTGACTAGGTATGATTTGACATTAGTCTAACCCTGTAGGGAGATTTAATAGTGAGAACCCTGATGGTTGTGGTGTAGTGGTAAGTATTCCTGACTATTAGAGCATGGATATGAGAAATAGTGATCTTTGGCCTTCGTGGCCTAAACCTGGAATCCGTTAGGGAAAGGGGAAAGGTAGGCCTTCGTGGCCAAAACGTTGAATTGTTATATGTCTAACCCTGAAGGGATAGGAATATTTGATAGTGAGTAACTCTAATATCTTAGGGTGTAATTGAAGGAAAAATTGTGATTTAGGGCGTGAATATGTTACGTGATTGGCCTAGTAAACCGTAGGTTTTGTGCCCTTATCGCCGTAAGACTTTAAGGATGATTTAGAGATATTTTGGGGGCATTGGGGAAGTTAATCGTGTGGACTTTTGGGTTGATTTAGGTTCCGGAACGTAACAGCGTTTTGCTGTCCGTCACGACTGTTCATGTTTTCGGTCGAAATCGTTTTGGACGTAACTTTGATCCGTAAGTCCGTTTTGGTCCCCGTTTGAAGCGTTGGAAAGCTAATGAACATGACTATAACCTTGGCGACAATATGAAAATTACCGCGAGTATAATTATGAATTAATATGTGATAATATGTGATAAATATGATGATTCATACGAAATCTAAACCTCAAAGGCATACAAAAACCTTATGTGATCCATACTTGACAAACAAGCTCGTTATATATATATATATATATATATATATATATATATATATATATATATATATATATATATATATATATATATATATATATATATATATATATATATATATATATATATATATATATATATATATATATATATATATATATATATATATATATATATATATATATATATATATATATATATATATATATATATATATATATATATATGAATGATTATTAATAAACTACTATAAGATGATTTTTTACATAAAATATTAAAAAAAAATATTTTTATTAATTTGTCCAAAAAGTAATATTCATAAAAAATATATAAAATTTTGTTTACTGTTACGACTCATTCTAACAATTAAAAATTCTGTATCAATGAATTTAAGAATATTTAAAAGTCAAAAAATGTTAGGTGAGATGTTGTGTTTTAATTGATACCAATAAAAATTGTTCACATAAACTAATATGTGGATTATTTCTTAAGAACTCATTGTTAGATGCCTTAAGATAGTTTAATGCATTGAATTTAATAAATATAGATAGAGAGTGTTATATAATACATATCAAAACCACTTTTTTTTTGGGGTATATCCAATACACCTTTTAACATTAGTATGAGGAACAACTAGTATCTTCAGCTGAAAACAAATTGTTCATGCACACAAAAACTTTAAAGTCAGCATTTAAAAAAATACACAAGAGCACTCTAAAGAGACATGCATGGTTTAATGCATTTTAAGATCAAAAGTTTCAAACGTGCACTTTGCTTTTGGAGGAGGAGCTTTGTCTTTGATAAGCCAAAACCTTGGCATGACCCTCCACTGTCCCTCTTGCATCTTTCTTTCTCTTAGTTAAGGATATATTGTTCTTCAAATCATTTATATTTCCAATTAATTCATCATTATCTAAAACCAAAATTTTATAATATTTAGTAATAATCATATAGAAAAAGTATATAGAAGATCATATAAATAGAGACGAATGTCGTATTACCAGGACTAGATAAGACGGCGCGTGGCCGGATAACACAACTAGGTCTTGTATTTTCTTTTGGAACCTCCCTAACTTTTTTGTTATTCTTCAACATTCCTATAGAAATTGAAACATCATTATCCATTGATACATTCTTCATTTTCTCCAAAATGTTAAATTGAGATTATATGTAAAAGTCAACCTTTAGTTGAAGGAGTGAATCTCCTTGTTATTATATGTTGAGGACAAGCCTTTGTGTTTTTGTAAATTGATGGTTCACTTTTACTACAATTCTCCTCTTCTGCTACTCTCAAAGATTAACAATTTTGTGTTTAAAGGCAATGAAAAAAAAAGTCAAAAAATATTAGTTGAGAGCATTTTATTTTTTATTTTTCAAATGAAATAAAGAATTTTATTTATGAGAGATAGACACAAAATATATAGACTATAGCTAAATAATATTAAAAAAGTTATTCCAAATAAATTACCTTCAAAATGTAGTGATTCAATGAGCTTCAAGAAAGATAAAATTCCACTATCATATTCAGAATAAACATTGTCTTCTTGTTCTGGTACTCTTACTTTAACTCTTGGATACACTTAAAAAAAACACAAGTTTATGATTAGTGAGGAAAAAAAATGTTAACACACTTTCTATAATGATTTTTTTTGTGTATATTTGAAAGGAACCATGAAGGAAACTCACTTTAATATGTTGCTTTGAAATGAGAGTTTGAAAAAGATATGATGTTGAAAATTGAGAGAATACTTGTAGAGTTGAAGCTTGAAGTTTATAAAGATGAGCCTCATTACTTGAGTAAAATGGAAGTAACAAAAAGTGCTAATTATGTTTCTTTGCTTAGACATCAATTGTGGGTGAAATTGTTCAGGTTGCATGTGAATGGGACTGAGTGAGAATCATGCTTTTTTTTACTTTTCCATTCTAATGGTTGATTCATCATAAAGAAAGTTTGAAAGTACTAAAGAGAGAATATAAAAGGTAAATAAATGGTTGATATTAGTTCATAATAGAAACATGAGAGAAAAGGTAGGAGAGGATCCAAATCTCTCAAATGAAGATATATTTCAAAGATTTATTGATTGTGTTGTATGGAAAGGTGGATTTGGTGTTTCGATTCCTTTAAGGAGTAGTTACAAAAACACCTCACGATTAGCTTAATGATGTCTACACATAAAATAAAAAGATCTTTAACTACTTGTTAGACAATCAATTTAAAGATGGAGGTAATGAAACAAATTTCTACAGAACTATTGGGATTGTGAAAAAATATGCTCTAAATACTTGGGACATTATTTTAATGAATGGCCACGATAATATATTTTTTCTTTCCTTTTAAAACCTTTTATATAATTAATTTAGATCAACAAATCGATTGTTTTATAATGCCAATAGATTAACTCATTAACCTTGACCATAAAACTTTTTTTTTCTTCCAATCTGTATTCTATAAATAAGTATTCATTCCCTCATATTTACATATACATAATCGTGAGCTATAATGTCTCACTCTTCACTTTCTTTTTAAAAAAATATTTTTACACTTTTTTTTATTTCAAGATTTAGCCGTAATGCTTTCGTGAAAGGTATTTTGTAAATGGTGCATTTGTATAATTTTGGAAGCGTAGAATTGTAAATTTATCAAGCAATATTTTTATATTAGTTGAATAATTTATCCATTCAAAGATTATTTATTTGAGTTTGGAGTTAAACACATCAAAAGTTTGTTTTGGGAATTTAGTTACTAAGTTAACGTTTCAAATCAAATGCTCAGCCCGTTTAAAAGATTTGGCTATAACATAAGAACAATTATGAAGGTAAACATTAATAGGTCTAATTTTGCAATATGAACTAAACAAATGTAAACAAAAACACATGATTATTAGCTCAAGAATCAATTATCTATTAACTGAGCAAGATATAGTAAACATATTAAGTTTACCTAAAATCTCATTTGAATATGATCAAATTGAGTTGATTATGTACAAATGTGATTAGAGGTAGTGACATGATTATTAGAAGCTTGTGGTTGAAACATAAGATTTGTATGTGGTTATTTGATGAAGTGTCTCGTCCATCGGTTGCAATGCCTACCACCTTTAAACTAGATATTGTATAATCCAAATATCATGTTGACCAGCCGAGATTTGAACTCGGTAGCGCCGAGCATGATAAGGATGATTAATCGGGGGTATTATGTCTACTTTTAAGTCAGATCATGATTAAGAATAACCAGAAAAAACGAGAATGTGCCGACCTCGCCTGAATCGAGAATTGTCTCAATCATCCAGGACATGGCGACGATAAAGCCCGAATTTCACACCAAAGGACGATTATGAACAATACATTATGACCTGAGAGTTACAATCATTAAAGATGGGAACATTATAGAAACAATTATGGAAGCAGAGGACATTACATGAAGGTGTAACAGTAAAGGGAGACATATAAATAAGGAGTGTTTGAAAAAAAACTAATACATAGTACTCATACTCAAAACAAACACCTTAACCATTCATACAAGACTCTCCTCGAGGTATAACGAGGAAGTCAACCTTTTAGTGTTTTAGCAAGAACATTTGGTGTAACACCCTGTTTCCCGAAATAAAATAAAACAATTAAATAAGCACACATCAGAGTTTCTCTCCCAAACGGGATGCTACAATTTCCATAAATCATTTTTCCAAATTAATTTCTCAATAAAACTACAGCGAAAAAAATATATACATAGTCTGTCATAATTCACAAAACATCATATATAGGTTATCCATATCCACCATCCTCGTCATATATATATATATATATATATATATATATATATATATATATATATATATATATATATATATATATATATATATATATATATATATATATATATATATATATATATATATATATATATATATATATATATATATATATATATATATATATATATATATATATATATATATATATATATATATATATATATATATATATATATATATATATATATATATATATATATATATATATATATATATATATATATATATATATATATATATATATATATATATATATATATATATATATATATATATATATATATATATATATATATATATATATATATATATATATATATATATATATACAACAATCGGCCAACTGCCTAAAATATATAACATGAGCCACACAGGCCTCACGTCCACACGCTCCCCATTTGGAGCACGTGAGCCACACAGGCCTCACGTCCACACGTTCCCCATTTGGAGCACGTGAGCCACACAGGCCTCACGTCCACACGCTCCCCATTTGGAGCACATGAGTGAATCGCATACGCTCCATCGAGCAATGATTCACCACGTCCACATACCATGTAAGACGCTATGCATAACCACACGGCACACACAGTGCACACGATCCTACGGATCTATTCATCATAATATGCATACATACACAAGCACACAAAGTGCATCGATCCTACTGATCAACTCACCACACTGATAACGCGAAATCATATATATATAATGATGTACTTTTCTACTAATCGGCGACCGTTTTCACTCCGATTTCGGATATTTTCACACTATTTGCCCAGTATTTTGCAGGTATTCAAAGTCCATGCTCAAATGGAGCAAGATGAAGAAAAGAAGCATTTACAGGTGAAAACCAGGTGAAAGTCAGGCCAAAAAGCAGCAAAAACGAGTTCTGCTGATATGACGACTGTCACAAGGGTGTGACGACCGTCATATGTGTGACGACCGTCACAGGTCCATGACGACCGTCATGGAGTTAAAATGCAGTTTTTCTGCACGTGCTGTCAAGTGATGAAAGTGCCAAAGAGGAGTGGACCACTAAATCCTATATTTTCTGATATCATTCCCACTTCCCGAAGAAATAAACCGTTGAAAATCCCATCTATAAAAGGAGGTAGCTGGTACCAGAAAAAGGGAGCTGCATTGAAGAGACGAAGTGCTGTCAATTTACTTTCAGAGCAATATTCAGTTTCCCATTTTCTTATCGTTATTTTGTTTCCTTTTTCTTTCTTTCCTTGCAATTGTTGTTTTACTTTCCCATTTCTATTCTGTACGAGTAATTGGCATAAAGACTAAATCCTGCCGCCATTTTGGAGGATTTCCCCAAAAGCCAAATCGAATTATTTACAGGTTTCTATTTTAATCAATTATTGATTGCTATTTCCCATTATAATGCATATTATTATTTTCCGCCATTATTTACGTGTTGTTAATTTATATTCCATGTCTGGCTAAATCTTAAGTAATCGGTATGTAATAAATAATCTGATGAGATTCGATAATTAACCGGTGTACACCTACCTTTTCAAAACTTATTTATGGCTTCAGCTTTTAAATCGATTTTTCTAAATAAACCTTCGTCGCGACAGCGAGAAATTATTTACAGTAGTTTTGCCACGACAGTGGGAAATTCATAAAGGTACGAACCAACAAGCGACAGCTGAGGCTAAGACCAGATAGTAAAAACTAGGCATTCATTTTAAAAACAGCGACAACACTTTAAAAGGAATTAGAACTTAATAGTTTTCAAAAAGTAACTTTAACCCCGAACGGGATAGCAACAACATACGTTCCGCCTTAGAGTTGCGACTAGCGTCAACAACCATCGTGAGACAAAGGTCTTTAAACCATCATTTTCTTCTTAAACTATTTTTGAAAACCTAAAGACACCGGTGACCTATAAAATCCCTGAAGAAGTAACATATTACATACCGATTCAAGCATTTATTCCTTAATTAAAAGCTTTAGTTCCCTTTAGTTTACGCACTTATTTCGTTACTATTCCCCTAAAACATTACCAACCTAGCTAAACACAGTAACACCCGAAAATACTAGTTTGATTACGAGTCCCTGTGGGATTGATATCTATTATTACTACGCGATAGACTGTGCACTTGCAGTTAATTGAGTTAGACATAGAAAGTCGCGATCACACACAACATATCACACATCGTGCACCTAAGGCATATCGGTCCTACTGACCCAATCCATCACACAACAGTATTTAACCACAACGCCTATAAAGCGTATCGATCCTTCCGGATCCAATCCCACAACACACCAACAAAACTCACTCAAGGCGCCACGATCATACTGATCCTCACATCTTACTCACAACATGCATACGGTGCACATATCTCACGTACGCATCCACATTGGTTCATACATAATGCGTATTTCACCAATTAGGCCACTTGTGATAAACGCCGACTAAACAGCCTTACAACCACCAACATATGCTCGTATCAGCTCCCCAACCAGCCTCTCGTCACACATGACCAACGAGAGTCCAAGTCCACAACGGAACAATACAAAAACAGCAGCAGAATCACAAACTGTTGTCGGGCTCGCTGGCACATTCGCCCGGCGAAGCCCCGCAGCGAAGGCTCGCTGCCATTCGCCTGGCGAAGCCAAACAGAAGCTTCTACCAGCACTTGCTGGCTAGTTCGGCCGGCGAAGGCTCGCCCCCATTCGCCTAGCGAACACCTGCGCACACAGAAAAATTCTGCAATGCAGAATCGCCTCCCTCACCGATTTCGCTCGATTAAATCAATACCCACCACCATCCATATACGGCAACTTAGCTACGGGGTCTATCCCCGATTCTATCCGACTAATCCTCAACTCTGCTCTCAAAACCAATTTCCGGCTCAACTTCGGA